TCCATATTTGCTTCTTTGCTAATTTTTAATAATTTTGTGAACTCTTTCTTTTCATTTCCTTTTTCTCAGTAGAATGCTTATTTTAATCAAAAGCGTTCTGTGTGCTTGTGAGGGAGAGACTCTTTCAAGCATTAGGTGAAACTGCCTCTTCATCTGAGGATGCAAGTTTATGGAGAAAAGACAACTGGCCGGAACTTCCGGTTGGAACCAGCATTATCTATGGGTCACAGGGCTGCTTCTCTGAACTAACCTTCCCATCCCTCCATAGCCTGCCTTCGTTTTGCTAGGAGCAGTTGGTGTTTAAATGGATCCCTGAGCTCATTTTAATGTTCTCTTTCGTCTGAAGGCTTCATAGCATGTAAAACAGCATATCTAAAGGTGGCATTGCATTTGGAGAAGGAAAATAATAACAAATGTACCACGGTAGTTGATCACCAATGGCAGAGCACCAAATGTAAGCTGCCCCTGATTTTTAGGCAGCAAGAATAACGCTTTTTCACATTCTCCCATGTGCTAAGTTCCATCTCAATTAAAATGTAAGGCCTTTAGAATGACCTGTGTGAGGATAAAGTCTGCTACAGGGTCTGTGAGCATCGTGTCATCTCCATAAATCTAAGAAATGCAGGCGGCGGGAACTTCACCCTCTGGCAGCTTCTCCTGGATGTGGCCGCCGGGAGGTCCTTGCCATCTCTGTTACAGGGTCGTTTCTCTCAGTGGGTTTTGCCTATTGATTGCCTCTGGATCACCCTGCCCTGTGGTTGCCTCTTTACCATCTGACCCCATCTAGACTCCAAGGTCCTTCAGGACAGAGCTGCGATTTTCCTCTTTGTCCTTCTATCCCCAACAATTAGATCAGGGGCCTGGCACAATGTTTGGCAAATATATTGAGTCTTGAATGATGGCTTTCCAAGGATTAGAGGCAAAGAAAATGACTAAGCCCACCAAAATCCTCAGGTCGTTAGGATTAATCTTTCCAATTTTAATACATGATGCCTCAGCTCTCCAGGCAGAAAGACCCCGAAAAGCTGTATGGTACTGACATGATTAACAACATGGAAATCGTGTTTCACACGGATCTGAAATGACACCTGCCCTGCACAGCAAGTGTGGCAGGGGGAGCAGGTTCATGGGAGCCACTCTCTGTCCATCTTGGTGGGCCCATTGGGCTCCCCCAATGGTCTTACTGATTCTGGAAGCTTCCTCACCTTCCCTGAAGTGACTTCATGCTTTCCATGTCTCTGCGCATGCACACAAGGTCTTGGAAAAGATGATCGTGAGCCATCCACATGGTTAACCATCCAGCCTGTTGCTAAATCCATGCTCAGTCCCTAGTTTCATTTTATGTGACTTAGCAGTTGGGTTCACACATTCTCTCCTCCGGGGAACGCTGATTGCCACTTGGTTTCTAGGTGATCACATCTTCTGTTTCCTTTTACCTCCCTGGTCTTTTTTTTCTCAGGACCCTTGGCTGTTTTCTCCTCATTTCCTGAATCTTTGAATATATTTCTGTTTTACTCATTCTCTTGGGGATCTCTGTCAGTCCCGCTGTTTTCAGTATCCTTGAAATACTGATGACTCTAAATTTCCTTCTCCAGACTGGACCTCTTATACATGCTTTTGCCTATCCAGCATCTACTCTGGGCCATCTTGGGCATCTTCCACCCATTGGAGCACTTGCTCTTTCTTCCCCAAATGCTTCTGCCTGATCTCAGTTCATGGCAGCCCCACTCTTCCAGTTGCTCAGGCCAAGATCTTAGAATCATTTTGATGCTTCTGTTTCTTCCACATCCCACATCTATTGAGATACTTTAAATGTATTAGGTCTTTCAGCTTTGCACACGGTCTCTGCATTCTATTCTCAATAGGGTAATACTATACAGCATAGGGTGATACTGTTAACTTGCAAGTCAGAGTATGTCCCTCCCATGTTTAGGACCCTCGCATGGCTCCCCACCTCACTCAGAATAGAATCCAAAGTCTTCTTAGTGTCCCTTAGGGTCCTACCCTTTGTGGCCTTGTTTCTGTTCCAGTCCCAGTGGCTCTTTGCTATTCTCCTGAAACACCAGGCTGATCCCAGATCAGAAGCTTTGCCCTGGCCCCTTTCTTGAAAATGCTCCTCTCTCAGGTATTCTCCTGGCTTCCACCTTCCATCCTTCAACCCTATGTTCCTGCATCTATTTCTCAGGCAAGGCTTTGCTGACCACATGGTTTGGAATTGCAGCCTTCTCCGGCCAGTCTCTGACACTTTGCCATTCTGTATTCCTTCTCTTCTCCATTTTTTTCCTGTTGTACTTAAGATTTTTAACATAGCTTATGACTGATTGATTTATTATATCTAGTCTCTGAATCCTTCCACTAGAAAATATGGTCTGCAAGGGCAGGAAATTTTATTTAATTCACTACAGAATCCCTAGAACTTAGAATGGTGAGTGGCACATGGCTGATGCTCAATAAACATTTGTTTCATTAATTAATTAATGAATTGAACCATGATACTAAGTTGGGTGGGAGATAAGATGCATTTGATGTTTGAATCAGGATAAAAATTTATTCCAACTTACTAGATTAATAGGCCAAATTTAACACTGTAAATGCAAAGAGATCCATGTAAATCCCTGTAGTCAAAAGCCAATTCTATAGACAGAAGATAAGGACCACACCATGGGAAAACCTATAGGTGATATTTACCTATGATTTCAGAATTGAATAGCAGGGACTTGTCCTCAATCCAAAGGCTAACTGTCACATTCATAGATGTACAGTACACAGATTTCGGTAGATATTAGTTTAACTCTAATGTTTGCTGCTCAAAGAGCAGTGGGAGAATTGGGTTCACCTCTGGGCCTCATGCCTAAAGAGAGATTTAGATAACATGAGCCCCATTTGGAAAACAGCCACCTCAAGTGGCAGCATATCCTGGGAGAAATGTTTATAGCATCCGACCATTCTTTTCAGCAGAAAAGACTCGGGGGAGACCTAACTAGTTTCTGGAGCTATCTGACAAGCCATTCTGTGGAAAGGGAACATTGTATATTATTTCAGTTGGCAGAACTGAGACCAGCGGGAAGAAGACAGATTTCGGATAAGGATAAGGAAGACTGCAAATTGGTGAGAGTTACCCAAGTTTGGAGCAACAGCAAGAGGCAGTGAGCCTCCCATTGCTGGGGGCAGAGCAGAGCTGAGTGGAGACTGTTTGATAGGGAAACTGTAGGGGGATTCAGGACTGTATGAGCTCAGGCCCCCCATAGAGCAGACACCAAGGTGGGATTGGATGTGCCAGAGATTGGGAAAATGGGGTGGAAGCCAGAGGAGGCTGGACTGAAGGTCTGAAGGCCTGATCCTTCTGAAGAAGAGAGGAAAGGAAGGAGGATTGGGTAGGAAGAGCCTTGGACTGTGTTTGCTATAAGGAAGCATTGGTAAGTCCAAAGGGGAGACTTTGAGTAAAAGTTGCCCATCCAAAGAGTCAGGAATAGGACTATTTTAGCATCTCGGCCACTCCCAATCATTGGCTGGGAGCAACCTGTGGGAAGCAGGGCTCTCTGGGAATGTGGTGATGGATTGCAGACCCAGCAGCTGGGGCCATTAGTTAATTATGCTCCCAGCAGTAGAAGCTCTGAGGGGCACATTTTCACGGCCAGCACAAGGTCTCTAGTGGGAACTGTGCAAAGTCCCAGGTAGACACTCTGATTTTAATGACTCATCACAACACTCTCACACTGTGCTCTCTTTATGGATCCCTGGACTGTGAGCATCTCAGAGCAAGTGCTCTGCATTGCCACCCTCTGCCCAGGGCCCATCATGTACAGGTGCTCACTGAGGGTTCAGCAAGTGGTGAAGAATACATCCCCACCCCTCACCCCTCAGCATCTGTGACCTGGTAGCCATGCTCCGTAATTTCAGGTCTTAGAGGGGAATCTGTTAACTTAAATCAAGGATAGTAAATGTCGGTCAGCCACAGTCCCCAGGGAAAACCTATAAAGTGGAGCTTCTGTGAGGAAACGACCTTCCTCGCTACAGAAGTGCCAGGACTAAACGGAACAGCCCCTGAGTGGAGCGCAGACTGAAGCCTCATCCATTACCCGCCTCTTCCCCTAGAAAGACAACCCTCATTTGTTATTTCCAGACTGCTTTTATTTGACTTGCAACGTGTGAAAAATGTTGAATGGGGAAATAAATAACATTATTTCCAAACAGAGATTTCAGAATCACTTCACAGATTTTGGAATTATTATCCTGTTTCCAAATGTTTGGTTTGTGCATTGTTTCCTCATTTATATGTGCGAGCTCTTTATTGCAAATGTCCTCATTTGGAAAACTCTGACAGAAGTCTGAGAGAACTCTGCTGTTGGCCTGTGCTCATGACTTTCTTGAGAGATGCCTCTTCTCTTTCTTTAGAAATGCGTCAAAATCATACATGCAGTCCCAGAAAAGTGTTTGCTAGAACGTTCCTTTTTACTGCACAGCAATTCTGCACTGACCAGTTCCACTTCCTCACTATCCTCCCTTGCCTCCAGGTTCTCTTCCCTGCAGTCGCTCAGCTCATTACGGCAAGACTGAGTTTCCTTCAACACCTTCTGCTCAAAAGCATTCCATTGCTCCTCTTGTCCTACTGGCTAAAGCCTAGGTGTGTGCTTGTTGTCATGCCTTCCCTAATTGGCTTCAGCTTCCTCAGGCCACACTGTTTTTCCATGATTCCTCTGACCACCTCTTGTTTTGGTCAAGTCTTTCTCCTTTTTACCTGGAAGACACCATGTCCATTCCACCCCCTGCCCTCACACACGTTATCCTGCCCTAAATGATCACCTTTCACTCCTTTGTTATCAAACTCCATTCATTCTGCAACACACACAGGAAGATCTTCAGATCCGGTTCAGCTGATGGGAAAGAAAGGGCAGGATTCAAACCCAATGACATTTCTCTTCCTACTTATCTATGAAAGATGGCACTTCTCACGTAATTGAGGGTATGTTTATCTGCTCTGTCTCTTTCTCTCTCCACAGCCCCTTCCACTGTTCCTATCATGCACCAGGTCAGTGCCACCATGAGGAGCATCACCTTGTCATGGCCACAACCAGAGCAACCCAATGGCATCATCCTGGACTATGAAATCCGGTACTATGAGAAGGTGAGTCAGCTCAGTCTGCAGGCTTGCAAGACCCAGGGCCAGCCCCTGCTGCATGGGTATTACCCAGCTGAGGGCACAAGGAGACGGGTTGGAGGAAGTCCTAAGGGAGGTAGCAATCTGGTGATATAGGCCAGAGGCTTCCTGGGAGAGTTTCCAGGTCTTCTCTGGCAAAGCCTCCAAAATCCAGGCACTTTCTATACCAACTCAAGAGAGAACCTTCCAACCCACCACCCTGCTGTCAGCTCACTGGGCTGGTATGTGCAGGACTGATCCCATTCCCCCAGTCATGTGCAGATACTATAAAACTTCCAGAGGTCCCCTGAACTTTCTGAAGATTTTGTGGTTTTGTAGACTAGTTGTGTGTGTTTTTCAAAGTTTTTGATCAGGTACCTCACTATAAGATTGTTTACTTATAAATCATATGCATATATACTGCACTTAAGTACTTATGAAGGTTTAAATATTTCAATGGAAATTTAAAAGAATGAGATAGAAATTAATAGGAATAGAAACTTATATAGTATCTTTCTTGACTGCTCTTTAGCAGCAACTACTGGGGGCTACAGCAGAGCTGTGCTGCCAAGGCAGGAAAATGGTGCCCTGCAGAGTTGCCCCTGGCCTATTTGTGGGAGAAGCAGGGACTTCCTCCCACCATCGTGAACTGCAGCATTTGCAAACTCCCAGGAAAATGCCGTGCTTTCTATACTGACCTAACAGCACATCATTTGTAAAATCACCAAATTCGTTTATTTATTTGTTGAGTAATTTTTTTATTGAGGGCCTGCTATTTGACAGGTACTATTTTAGGCTATATTAGTGATGAAAACAAAGATTCCTCTCCTCAAGAGTCTCACTTTCCAATAAATGAGATAGATAATGAACAATGAATAATAACAAATGAAATCAGATAGTATGTTAGAAAATGAGTATTGTAAAAGGAAAAAAAAAAAACCAAGCAAGATAAATGGGATTAGTCAGATCAGGTTTGGGAGTGATATCAGTTGCAGAAATAAATGGATGGTAAATGTAATCCTCTTGGAGAAGGTAAGTTCTAAGTGAAGACCTGAAGGAAGTAAGAGTGTTGTGAAGCAGATATCTGGGGGACAGAGAGCTTGTGCAAAGGCCCTGAGGCAAGATCATGACCGGTGATTCAAGGAGCAAGGAGACCAGCATGACTGGAGTGGTGCGAGCAATAGGGAAATAGTAGACAGGAGAGAGGTAATCGGGGGAGGTGATAATCGTGGGCCTTAAGAACTTGAGCTTTCCCACTGAATGAGATGGGGGTCCATAGCAGGGTTAGGAGCAGAGGAGAGACAAAATCTGAAAGGATCATTTAGGCTCTTCTGTTGAAAATAGGCCTGCTAGATTGCAGTCATCTAAGACAAAGATGATGGTGGATTGAATCAGAGTGGAAGCATAAAGCTGATGAGACATAGTCAATTTCCAGATATACGAGCTAAAGACAGAGCCAACAAGATTTCCAACAGGTTGGATTTTGGATATGGGAGGTTTTAGCCTAACCCACTGGAAGGATGTAACCACCAGTGACTGAGAAAGGGATCGCTGTGGGTAGAGTATGTTTGGGGTGAGGGAAGGGACAGAAGTTCAGCTCGATGTCTAAAATGCCACTGGGATAGTCAGTGGAGATGAGGAGTAGGCAGCTAGATGTACAGGTCTGGAATTCAGGAGAGAGGACCAGATTAGAGATGTCTATTTGGATTTGACCATATGTAGATGTATGAAAGCCTGGAGCCTGAGTGAGATTATCCAGTGGGTGAATGGAAACAAGATGGAGACCTGCAGCCCTCCAACATGGAGGCAGTGTTGGACAGGGGGTGCAGCAGCACTGGGAAGCAGGAGGCCTAGCTTCCAGTGCCTTCCCTAACCAGCCAGCCATGCAGCTGCAGTCAAATTATTTAACCACCCTAGGTCACAGTTTTCACATTTGTAAAATGCTAGCAATTTACCCCCCTGAAAGTGGATGGCCAGATGGATCACCAATCTATTCTGTGAGGAGGGATGCCCTTCAGCCATTAGAGCCGAGCTTGCAAAGCAAGGTGGGGATCAGACAGCATTTTATTCATTTAGAGAATGTTGGGCTATGTAGACAGTTCATTCAGAAAATTCAGTGAATTGGGTGTAAATTAAATCTAGATTTATAAGCAACGGTTATATCCATTCAGCTTTGAATTTGGGGTCCTTATTTGCTAGATTTTTTTTTAATCAGTTAATAAAGTAAATGTTGACTTTCCAAAATGTTTTGGACCAATCTGTTTGGACCAGTCGACCACATGACCTCATTTTGTCATCAAAGTTGACCTAACAGTTCAACAGAGTATCTTGTGAGGCCAGTATATGGTATGTCAGAGTCACCAGTAAGGTTCCACCCATTCCCACACACATGAACTTGAGCCTTGTAGTTTCTATTGGGGGGAAAATTCCTCCTTAGTGTGCCCTTTTGGGTGCTAGGGGCTTCATTAACATTATGTCCTTTGTCCCTCACAACTCAATGTAGTAAATATTAGCATCATTGATATGAGTAAAAACAACAACAACAACAATTGTATAGAGAAGTTTTTAAAACCAAAACCAAACAAAACTCATCCATAGTCACATAGCTAGGAAGTGAGCCCACAGCCTAGGTTATTTGCCTTCAAGCCAGTGGCGGGGCTGGGAAGGGGCTGAATGCATGGGAGACCACCTGCCCCCTTCCTCATCTGCTGTGCTAAGAACAGTCACCCTTGGGGAAAGGGGGAGAAGGCTTAAGGACAGGCTGAGAACTGAAACCATTTTGCCTGTGTCCCTTGGCTCCTCATTCCCCACCCACGTCTAGGCTCCTCCACTGCCATTCCCTTCACATGCTTCCTGCTGCCTTGAAAAACAGTAATTAACCTCCACTTCTGATGTTTTGAAGGAAGCTTATTCTCCCATTTCAGGCCACGTCCCTACTTCTCAGTAATTTATACTAATTATTAACAGACACACATGCACAGCAGCTCAATGCCTGAGGCAGCTTCCACACCTCATTGAAGCATATTATTGTCCACACTCCAGAGAATAGAATGCTTTTCTTGGGAACACAGAAGATTCTTTGCCAAAGCATTGATTACTATAGAACTTATAAAGTGCTTGTCTATAAAATTGTTACATTGCCTTGACCATTCCTAATATGACTTAAGAAAAGACATTACCTTGCAAGGGTATTTTGGAATAGCCACACTGACAATAATTCATCTTTATTGACTGCCCATTATGTGTCAGATTTTCACAGATATATTAGTTCTGACCCTTAAAAGAAAGATTCTTGAACGCCAGGTATAGTCCATTTATACATGCACAGAAATAAGTCACAGAAAGGTTAAATGACTTACCCATGACCACACAGGTCACAGCTAGGGAGTCACAGAACCAGAACTATAGACATTTTTATTATATTTCAATGTATTTCTGATGCAATCATGTTGATGCTGAAGATCTCATAGTTTGTGTGGCTCCTGAAATAAAAGATTGTATCTTAATTTTAAACCCAAATTCTTGTAACCAGAATTATTTGCCTACCTGCTCCACAAGGCCATGGAATCCTGGTCTTCGGAAGATACAAGCACAAATAGAACTCAAACCAGTAGATGTCCCGAATTCAGCCCCAAAAAACAAAACCCACAATTCCTCCTCCTATACCACTTCTTCTAAACTAGGAGTCAGCAAAATTTTTCTGTGAAGGACCAGGTAATAAATATTTTAAGCTTATGGTCCATAGAGTCTCTCTCCCAACTACTCAACTCTGCCTTTGTAAAGCAAAAAAGCAGCCACAGGAATATGTCAATAGATGGGCGTGGTTGGGTTTTAATAGAACTTTATTTATAAGACAAGATAGCTGTCTGTGAGCTGTAGTTTTCCAGCCCCTGAAAACCCTCCCTGGTTCTCCAGCCCCACATTGCACTCTTGGCTTGTGCTTGCGACACCTTCCAATCTCAGCCCTGTGAATGGAATCTGAGGCTTTTGCCTCTTCCAACAGCTCATTAATAGAGAGCTCAAAAGCCATCGAGCTGATGACATTCCCAGAGGCTCTCCCATGTTCATCTCTGTCTCCATTTTAATATATTTCCATTCATCATTCTCTCTTGTTTACTGTCTTGTAGTGCTTTTCACTCCTGGTGTCAGCGCTTGTAGGCAAACCATCGGAGAAGCATCTTTGTCTGCTCTCGGCTGTCTCAATGATGAAGCATTTAGACATTTACTCACATTTCCTACTAACTGTCTAGGCCAGAATGGGGTGGTTCAGTCCTTGGGAGTTGCTACCCTGCAAATTTTAGGATCATTTTCTCATAGAAACTCTTTCAGGCCTTGGCAATATCTTGTGCTCAATCGATTATTTCAAATAACTGGCCTCAAGTATGCTGTTTATTCATTCATCTAGCACTGAATGGTTGAGCACCCAGGGGTGCCAGCCCTGTGCTACGTGTTAGGGATGGAGAAATAAGGGAGACATGGTCTCTGCCCCCAATAGCTGCAGCCTCTATCTCCCACATTCTTATAAAAAACCAGTCATAAGCGACAAAAAAAGCAACCTTGTCCTTCGCTCTAATTCATTTGCCTGAAGTTGATTAATGGTTTTGAAGGGAACGAGGATGGTACTCAATTTAACCACTGAATGTATGGACTATAAAATGATAATAGGTTAATGTTTTGTCCTCAAAATTCAAATGCCAATACACTACAACACATTTTTTTTTCAGCAAAAGAGCTGCCCAGTCAATGCTTATTTCAAGCAGCACATACTTCCATAGTTTCCAGTAAAACCAGAGAATTTAGGAAGCTCCCTGGATTTATAGTGATGGGAATTTGCCTAACTTGCAAGGTGATGTGACTTTCATAGTTTCAGATTTCAGATCTCTAGTGTATCAATAGACAGTAAAGACCAAAGATCTAAATGACATCCCTTCTGCAGTGACAGCCTTCTTTCTGCTGGATCTCTGGTTGGTGGAGGTGGAAGTGGAGATGGTGGTGGTGGTTGTGGTGGTGGTGGTGGTGGTGGTGGAGGAGAATCCACCTGCTTTTTAAAGTAGATCAAATGGCAGATGGATAGTCCTTCCCCAAGCAGTCTCTCCCAGACTCCAATGGATAACTCTTCTTTTAGGGTACACATGGGCCTCTGTAACTTGCAACTGTGTCAGTCCCTTACAACTGCATCCAAAGCATTCATCACCATCCTCAGGCCACCTACACTCCACATATGCCCCAGTGACTTGCAGGCTCCTGAACTCCTTTAAGCTTTGTTTTTGCATGTTTTATTCTATTCTCATGGGATATTCTATTCAGTGCCACCTCCCCACATTAATCCATGTGGCTAATTTCTTTTATCCTTCAGAACTCAACTCATATCACCCTTATCTGAGCCCCTCCCAACCCTCTTATCAGTCTTGGCTAAGTGACCCTCTGCTGTTCCCCAACAACTCCCTAAGTTGCCCTCCTTTGTCATCATCTGTTTACTTTCTGGTCCAGCCCCACAAGATGTTGCCTTCCCAGAGGAGAGGACCATGCCTTGGTACCTGCAGCCCACATATGGCACCCAGCATATGATAGTGGGTCGTAATTGTGACTGCCTGGCCAAATGAATGAATGAACACACATCAGGCCACCTTTGACTTTGTGAAGTAGACTTTTACAAATTTTAAGACAATGGTAATTTCTTATCATTGTATTCTTCTGTCCGGGCTCCGTTCCCCAAGTTTTGTCTGTCATTAGACTGAAGATGTGGCTGACAGGTCTCTCGTCATTAACATTCCCCTCATTTGTCACCATGCCTTCAGAACTGTTGTGCCTAGAACTCGTCACAGAACCCCAGGCCTGCACATGGGACTTGGGTCCTCCTCCCAGGAACTTAAGTTCTTCATTTTCACTGATGTCCCCATTTTGCTCTAAGATTAATGGTGCAGACAGAGACAGGCTCAGACTTCAAATTCTTACTCCTATGCATGCAGAGCGAAGTCATATTCTCCATCATGCTCATCTGGAAATGATCAGAGAGCAAGCTGGTGTATCCAGAGTACTGAGGGTGATGGAAAATGATGAAAAAAAGCAATGAGGAAGGCTTGTGGGCTAGAGTCATGAAGGAAGCCTTCCTAGAAGAGGAGGCCTTGGTGGGTGGAGGCCTAAGGGATCAGGAGGGCACAGGGCAGCCCTGCACAGAGGCATTGCAGACTGGGAAAACAGCCTAAGCAAAGGCCTGGTGGCCAGGGTGTGGTCTTTGTAGGGGCAGCAAAGTGTCAATTTAGGGTCATATGAGAGATTGGAATTTATTGTGAGGGGCTTGTAAACCTAGATTTAGGAGTTTTGTTTTTATCTGATAATAGTTTTAGGGAAGGTAAGAGATCTTTAGGAAAGAAATTTGGATTTGGTGGGAAGGGTTTGGCAGAAAAGATGGGAAGCTACAAAATCCAGGCACAAATCAAATGTTACATAAGATCAGCCCCAAATAGAGGAAGCAACTCTTTTAGGGCACTCATGATGGGCAGAGAAGCCAGAGGATGAGAAACACAAGCATCATCTGTGTAAACCAGAGGGTACGTGTACAGATAACAGGAACTGTGAAGGACAGGGCAGAAGCAGTTGGAGAAAGTGACAGACAAGAGGGCGGGGCTAACCCCTAATGAGGACACAGGGGCTGCTCTCTGTGGAAAAGGGACATGCCTTCCCTGGAAGATGGTGGAGAGGGAACTGGAGGATAGGGACCCAGACAGACACGGGTCAAGGTCAAGGCAGAAGCAGGTGTGGAAGGTACTCCAGCCTGGTCTCAACCTCTTCAGCAGAGTGGAAGTACTTGAGGGAGCTTACAGAGTGATCTTGTGCAGCCATTGTGAGGAGTGATCAGGGAGATCCTGAGTGAGGATAGAAAAGAAAACATCTCAGCAGAATCAAAGCAAAGAGAGGCAGGCATAGGGTGGCCCACTGTGTCCAGTGAGCTCCTGCTGAGGTAGAGACTAGATAGGGTTTCACAAAGATGGTTGTGCTTTGTTATTCTATCTCTGAACCCCGGAGAGGGGAGGAGTAGAAAATGACCTGGAGCCCCAGGCCCTGAGAGCTCAGCATTTGCTCTGTAGCTACTGCATGGTCCAGAGCCAATTCTTTATTCCCTCAGTCCAGGACAGCCTGTCCCCACTCAGAGGGATGGCCTGGGGCTGGTGGCAACTTCTAGCAGATCAGCAAAACCAAGAACTGGTGGAGCCTGGGTGCTCCAGGGTGGAGTGGGCTGGGGGTGCTGCACTCAGGAACAGGCCACTGACCAATACCCTTGCTCTTTGTCAGGAACACAATGAGTTCAACTCTTCCATGGCCAGGAGCCAAACCAACACAGCTCGGATCGACGGTCTGCGGCCGGGCATGGTGTACGTGGTGCAGGTGCGCGCCCGCACCGTGGCTGGCTACGGCAAGTTCAGCGGCAAGATGTGCTTCCAGACTCTGACGGACGGTAAGGGGTGGGCCAGTGACCTGGCACAGGGGGAGCAGTTCAGGGAGGAGAAGAAGCCCCACCCCAAAGAAGCTGCACTCGCAGCCAAGAGGCCAACCTCTACCTGCATTGCAGTGGAATTCCCTTAGCAGGATTTGCCTCCCAATATGCTGTATAGGGCGACATCTGTCTGAAATCCAGTCCATTTCTGTCCAACATCTGATGACTTGCCTTTGAAGGGTCTCTGAACAACATGGTCACTGCATGTGGTCCTGCAAGGGCACAGCAGTGAGACCCACACCGGTCAGTGTGCCCTCCAGCCTTTGGATCAGGGCCCAGATGCCTGTCACTCCCACTTCACTCTGTTCTTGGGGGCTGGGAACTGAGCTCACAGCCTCATGTCATGAGCCCAGGTCTGCAGGAAGGGGACGGGGAGACTAAATGTGAGGTGTGGCAGTCCTATGAACCCAGCATCTCACAATATGTGAGGCAGCTTCATATGTGGCCCCAGTAGGTCCTGCTCAGGCATCTTCCCACTGTTTTCCAAACTGTCCCAAGGCCAGAAAGTCTGTCACCAAAAATACTTCCACTTTTCGGTTTTATTCATTCCCTATTAGAATGGTTTCCCCCACTCCTCTGAGACCACCCCCTTTAACACTTATGTAAAGGAGACTTCCCTCTAGCTTGAACATTGAGCCTGGGTGTGACTGCTTGGTTGTTCACTCACCATTTTCTTAGCCATTTACCATAGTGTAAGTATTCGTTTATCTATATATTATCTACATATCTATCTACATTTATTTATTCATTTATGAGCTATTTCCTGATAGTTTTCCAAATGTCAGTCTATTCCCAGCCTCCCAAACTGAAAGCCTTTCATTTTTCCTTTATTACCTAAATTATATAGAAAGCAGGCTGCCCTTACATAACATTTTATTTTAGGCCAATACTATTCAGCTAGGCACTTGACAGGGCTTGAGGCTTTCTAATGACACATTATATTTTTGACAATTTAAAAATTCACCAGGAAGATTTAAAAATCAGATGATCTCATATAAAAATCATAATATTCATTTTCTTGGGAACAGTTGTAAGGGGAGCCAGTGCTGGTGGCGTTCCCGTGTGAGGCACTGCTGTCCCATGGGTGCCCACCACTTCCCAGTCATGTATTCCTGGGAGCTCTAGTAGGGGCTCTCTGGCGCCTATAGGATTGGGAGTTGCAATCCATTTGGAGTTTATTTTAGATGAATTTTCAGTCATATTTTAGGATGGTGAGATGGGTTGGGAAGGCGAGCCAGTTCATTCGGATTAATGATACGGCCAGAGTGAAAGGAACGCAGGCTGTCTTCTTTTCCTTTAGGACTCTGTCCCCCTTTTGCACCTCACTTACCATCTAGATTTATGGGCACTTTGGCATCAGGAGGTACACAGGATTAAAAGCCCAAAACTCAAAATGATCTGAGCACCGGTCTCTTGGCAATCCTGCTAGACAAATCAAGAAGTAACAGATTTCTCCCAAGAAGGCTATTCCTTTTACATTGGCAGTTAAGTTTTGTAAACCCAAGAGGGGCTAGATATAAGAGAGTTCTGGTAAGTGGCCAAATTCGAGGGTATTAATCTTAATGACTGAGGTTCACACATCGGTAGTAATTACGCTCATGGCAGCTTTGGGCCCCAACGGCAGCGCAAAGGTGAGTCTGAAGGTTGATCGGAGAAGGGTCATTGGGGCAGGAGGACCTGTGGGAAGGTCACTTTGCTTTATGATGTTTTTAATGTATAAAGACATTGTTATGGACTCCTCACTGTGGTTCTTTGCATTTTTTTTTGGCCAAATTAACTTTTTAAAAGCATGCATGTTACAAAAAGCTCTCAACAGAGGGAAACGGAAACTCTACCTTCAGTGTTTAACATTGATTTTTAGAGAGCGGGAGGATTTGAGACTTGAGCAGTGACTTCAGCAGTCTCTGTCTCCACCACAGACTTGAAGGCTGGTTCTCAAACATTGGGGAGCATAAGAATCACCCATGGTGTTTGGTAAACATGCAGATACCCTGCTCTTCACCCAGAGGTTCTGATTTCAGAGATCTGAGTAGGGGCCCAGAAATAGTCATGTTTAACAATTGGGCTTAAGATATTCTGATGCAGGGCATGGAGAACCTCAGTTCAAAAGGTATTGTCATTAAGGTTGCCCAATAAAACTGAGAATGGCCAGTTAAATTTGAATTTCAAATAAACAATGAATAATGTTTGGGGCATACTTAAATACTCATTTTTCATACACACACACACACACACACACACGTATATATTGTGTCTTCGGATCATACATTGAGTATCAGCTGTATGCAAAGGGCACATGGGAAGATTCTAATGCCTCTTTCTTACCTAGCTGATTACAAGTCTGAGCTGAGGGAGCAGCTGCCTCTGATTGCTGGCTCGGCGGCGGCCGGGGTTGTGTTTGTCGTGTCCTTGGTGGCCATCTCCATCGTCTGTAGCAGGTAGGCCCCCCACTCCTGGCCCTGACTGCTCTCCTTGGACCCAGGAAACCCCACATTCAGACATTCAGACCCCTCCAAGGTCATGCAGACTGGACAGGGCCTGACCATTCAACAGACACACCTCCGCTCTCCCAATCATCACTCCATGTCAATCCACAGGCAGCCTGGATCTTCAGATTGTTCTCTCTGTGCCTGGGATAAAATCCCCTGTAAGAGCTGGGCAAAGCTATGAATCAACCCATCCATCCTCAAGCTTCATTTTAGACAAGACTCTTAGCGCCCCTCGCACACAACAGTTTTTCGGAGTGACAGTTGCAAAATTGCATTTGACCCACTGGAGCATCCCAGCATGTGCCTCAGCCCATCCTCTGGTTAAAGAGCCAAAAGCCTTGGTGGAGGGCATAAGGCAGCAGGCAGGAAGGGAGCCAAGGAGGAAAAGAGGAACTCCAAGTTCTGCAGAAGGGCTGGCCCTGAAGGCCTTGTGAATTTTTAATACTGTTGCTCCTGCCTTCGGTGGTTAGCCTAGATTCTGCTGGGCAAAGGCCTATAGTGCTGCAGTGCAGCCAGAGCACTAACAGCACCCTCAGGAGTCTGCCCAGGCTCTGAAGGGGCCCACGGCTCTGCCCAGCCTCTAGACTTGAAAGCAGACCCATCTGCCCACAGTGGTGGTCAAGCTAGAGCACTGGCCATGACAAGAGCTACACCTAAACTGAGAGAAGCAGTTCCCCATCCCAGTAGATTCCTGGGTGAGCCCCCACTGGGACAGGAGGCCTGGAAGGAGGTCCTGGAGCAGAGAGGCTCAGAGAGCTCCTCTTCCTTGTGTCCACAGGAAACGGGCTTACAGCAAAGAGGCTGTGTACAGTGACAAGCTGCAGCATTACAGCACGGGCCGAGGTGAGTAGAAAGCAGACACCCACTGATCCCTGGAGAACCACTGAGTGGAGCAGGCGAGTGCTTGGAGAGCTCCTTATAGCCAGACTGGCCGGTCCCCACCACAGCCCCTCCCAGCGCCCAGTGGCCCAGCACCGCCTCTCTTTGATGTCCTCAGGGACCACAGGCTGCCGCCCTGTCTGCTGGTCTGCTGTCTGCCCATTGTGGGCACTCACTGGATGCCTGGCAAGCAGATTATCTTTTGCATTGATAAGCCCGTATAGGACAAGGAGTGCAGGGAAAGATTGGGTTTAGCAAGTCAATGAATCCTGAAGTCAGACACAGTGGCGAAAGATGGAGGGTTCCCTATTAACATCTTCCCTCTTATCTAATCCAGCTGAGCGGCTGGGGAATGAGTTAACCAAATTCACAGATAAGCCAGGGAACATGAATGTAGGGAATTAAAAGATAGCAGAGCCCAAGAGGCCGAAGTGTTGGGATATCTCCCAAGTATTTTCTTTTTAAAAGTACCTTAAAAGTTTTCTTCACTCATTATCTTTTTTTAAATATGTGTGTGTGTGTGTGTGTGTGTGTGTGTATGATTTTTACAACTAAAACTGCTTCTCAGAAATGTGCAACATGAAGTCTTGTGTCAGAATTATTCTTTTATCTGTGTGATTACAACATTGCAGAGTCTGAAAATGTCGCACTGGGTCAGCCGGGCCACCTTCCCTCCTCCAGAAAACGGTATCCTTAATCCTTACAGTGGACACGTTCTGTTTCTAAATAACTCCTTTTAAATTCCACGGATGCCCTCCGCAATCTGTCCCAGCACTTTGTGCTGCGCTGCCCAGGCTTCTTCTGTAAGCCTCCTCTCACCTAACACCCTCTGTGGAAGTGTAAGCCCTTTTCTCCCTGTTCACACAGCAGTGAACATGGAAAACAGGCCTTATCTACACACACACACACACACACACACACACACACACACACTGAGCATGCCTTCAATGGGCAGTTCTGGGAGCAAAAATGGGCTCAAAAGCGAAAGTTCTCAGGGATCAAACTCATCGCTTCACAAGGTTACGTCTCCAGGACAACCACGCAGCAGCTTCGCCACGAAGGAGCTCATGTTCGAGCATGGCCAGTGCTGGCTTGGGTCGTACAGGGGCCACTCGATAGATTCGATCTCGTTTTCCAGGGGCTTTCCATCTAAGACCAAGAAATTGCCAAGGGTTTGCAGAGGACCAAGCCCCAGGCAGCTGGGCTGCTGCTCAGATAGTCATGGTTGGGAGGGAGGCGTGGGCTCGGCTGGCTCAGAGGCACTGTGGTTCCACAGTGATCCAGGCAGCCCCACATCAACAGTATGAACCAGGGGAGGGGGTTCAATAGAGTGGCTTCTCTCTAAATTCACAGACACTGCTCCTGAAAATCTCAGAGTCCTGTTTACCACCACCCGCCCTTTTCCCCCTTCCAGGCTACCTTGGGCCTCCGTTTTAACCAGATGTCACTAGTTTTAGAGGGGAAAACCCTATTGTGTTCTCTCCTTTCCTGCAGCCTGACTCTCTACCTCACTGCAAAATCTGCAGATGCTTTTACTGATATTAACCTGTGCATTAACTGCTGACATTGATTGTATCTATGATTCTCAGGTGAAGGTGCCCCCTCTAGGGTGCATCAGAATTACCTGCCCACCTCCTAGCCTCTGCGTCAGGGTCCTGACTTGCCCCCACCCAATGCTCTCTGCTCTTTGTTGCATTGAGAGCCACTGTAAAGTCCATTTCAGATTTAGCATCCTGCTCACTCTCCAGATAATACATGTAGAGATGGCCATGGGGACCCAAAATTGGGAATATCATTTTGAAGACTAGAGATGGCCAAAGATGAGAATGGGTTGCCCTAGGAGGGAACTTCCGTTTCAAAAGCATACAAGTTAAACCTTGTTATTGCTCCTTGGGTGGGGTACAGAGGGTCCCCAATCACCAAGTTGGGGTACTGCTTGGTGCGTTTTGGGGCACTTCAACCTGAGATCTGGCCAGTCTCCTGCTCTGGAGGGACCTGCTCTGGTGGACCACCACGTGGTGCCAAAATGCACAAAGGTGCTCCCCAAGTTCTCATAGCCCTCCTGTGGGGGATTGTATCACATCTAATGCCCACAGCTTCCATGGTTCTCAGGGTCCACAGAAAATTCAAAGCCAGTCCGCAGTAATCATGGCCCTGCTACACCATTGGGGTCAGCCAAAGACACAGTGTTGACAAGCTGCACAGTCGCCATCCCTGGGACTCGGGGTGGACGCAGAGTTCTTCGTGGACCAGAGTCCACATCCTCGGCTGCCTTAGAAGTCTGTCTTCTTTGTAATTCAGTTCACCTTTTATAAATGTCCTTCCCCTCTATTCATAACTTTTCTCTTTTTATCCAGTCCCTGCAACCTGGCTCTTCTGCGCTTAGTTCTCTAAACTCATAGTCTCATCCACTGAGTTGCATTAGTGCATTTTCTCCTATGGATCTCGGTCCCTCTGACTGAAGCTATTACTGTTGGAGCATCACAGTGTGAGGGCTGGAGAGCTGAGGGAAGACTCGTCGCATGTATAACAGAAGAGGAAACGAGTCTCAGAGGGAGGATGGGCCTGGCCCAAGACAGGGTAGGGGTAGGAATGATTAGTTATGAAAGCCTGCTCTGCTCCTTTATTCTGGTAGCTCCCTTCAACTCATCTAACCCTGACAACCACTCCAGAACTTAGGCACCAATCTAGGGAGGTAAGCGACTTACCCAGGTCACAGGGTTCATAGGTGGCAGAAGTGGACTGCACACCCTCTACGTCTGGCTGCAGAGCCCATGATCTTCCCATGTTGCAGTGGCTCAAGGTGCCAGGTAGTCAGGAGCATGTGAGAATGGGGTGAGGACTAATTCAAGGTGTCCTGGTTGGTGGTTTGTTACATCCGCCCCCCGCCGGGACCCAGTGTAGGAGGCAGAAAGGTCCATAAAGTGTGATGTGAACGTGCCTATACCTGGACCATCCATGTGCCCGTGCCTCCCTCTGGGATGTGACAGCAACCTGGAGCTCTGAGGGCTTCCTGCCCTGGGAGTGACAGAACACCTGCAGGAGCATCCCAGCCTCATTCATCAGTGCCCGAGAGGGCCCTGCCTCTCTTCCCTGCAGGCAGGACATGTGGCACCATAGCCCTGCCCTCCCAGACCTGCCTTCCAGGATGATGTGAAAGCTAAGGGAGACACCATGTAAATGGCGGCAAGTGGAACACCTTCTCTGGTGCAATGTGATGTGGCAGATCTGGTCAGTTTGAGAACACAGTGCTCTCTGGGACACCGGTTTATGTCCATCCTCTGATAGACATGACAGGCATATGAAAGGGGGATTTGGATTTGGGTGAAAGAGACTACAGGGAAGGCAAAGAGGAGCCAGATTGCAGGGACTGGATAAAAAGAGAACAGTTATGAATACAGGGGAAAGGCATTTCTAAAAGGTGAACTGAATTACAAAGAAGACAGACTTCTAAGGCAGCTGAGGGAAGGGAAAGTGGGCTGGAGATGGTGCTGGTTGCTTGGATGGTAGCGCCCAGGAGCCCGAGGTCCATGTTTAAGGATGGGTGGGTGGGGCTGTGGGTTTCCCATGTCCAGGAAGAGGCAGGTACATGGTGTGCCCTCATGGTTTATGTGGGCCATTCTCAGGAGGCGTTGGTTGGCTAATTAAAAACTGCCTGGACAGGTTGACCCAGGTTGGCCAAGGTGGGCATAGGAACCCATTTTAAAAATGTTCCATCGATTCTACATTTGGAAAACATTACTAGGTACTTACGGGGCTTAGGTAACCACACGCTTGACACCTCGCTGATTTCTGAGTTGGATGGAGTGTGTAAGGTTAGGAAAGAGGAATGAATATAAAGGCTTGGTAAGGGGTCAAGGGCTTTCCAAAGGCAGCCCTAACAGAACCACCTCTTGTGTTGCAGGCAACAGCAGATATAATCACAGCTAATATTATTAAGCTTTGAGAAAAATGGAAACAAATAGGGTATGTGCCCAAAGGTTGTAGACTGGCCAACACTCTCATTGTCACGTGGGGCAAGAGGGCAGAGCACTAAGATTACAGAACAGAAGGGCGAGCTTGATCCCTGCCAAATCTTGAAGAGGCTGGAGCAGATGGGCTCTGGGCATTAGAAACTGAATTCTGTGATCATCAGGAACCATCACAGGATTATTAAGAAAAAATAATGGGGCCCTCATCTCATTTACTGGGGTTACACAGTTAGTAAATTCAAGAGAAATTGAAGTTTATTTTGGCAAAAATATTTGATTATCTCTAAGGGCAAGCATTGTCAAGTGGGCACAGAGCTTGTCTTCATGCCGAAAGAAAGTGGGTTAGTGACTGTCAGCCAGGCAGGAAGGCACCGGTTTTATTCCAGTCCTTGTCCAATTCAATCTCTTGTTTGTTTGAGTGTTTTTTAAATTCATGAGTCAGGTGCAGGCCTAGGGATTCTTATCAAGTTTGTAGGTAACAGTTGGAGAGCATAGCTAACACCGTAGAAGACAGAATCAAAATTCAGAACTATCCGTCAGCATTGAATGCTAATTCGAAATCTGCGAGTTGAAATGTTGGAGGGATAAATCTAGAGTCTAGTGTTTGGGTTAAAACAAAAAGGAAGCGGTGTGAAAAAGGAGGAGACCTGGCTTGCTAGTTGTGTGGGGAAAATGTGGGTATTTAGTTGACCACATGGTTAATATGAGTGATATGTAGTTGATTTACAAAGAAGCCAAGTGCTGTTACTGATGCAGAATAATACTGTTCTCTAATTTTTTAATTGATTTTATTTATTTCTCTCTCTTTTTTTTTCAGAGAGAGAGGGAGAGTGGGAAAGAGAGAGAGGTTGCCTCCTGCATACACGCATCCCGACCTGGGATCAAACCCACAATCTGGGAATGTGCCCCGACTGGGAATCGAACCCTGCCACCTTTTGGTGGATGATGCTCCAACCAACTGAGGCTCACAGTCCAGGGCCTCTTCTCCAATTT